CCTGCTAGCTGGGAAACTGAAAAGGTTTATAATCTAGATTTTAGACCAGAACACTGTGGCATCAACTAGCAGAATGTGATAAATTTCGAAAAAAGTCAAAAATGCATGAATGATAAAAACATTCGTAAATATTTAAAATATTATATGGTGCAAATTAAACTAGTGTAAATACTTTGCATATTATATGAAGTTATTTTTATTGTTTCAATTTACAATTCTCAATTTCTGTAGTGTTTAAACTGTTTCACAATAAATTCGAAATTCCGATACCCAAGTTTAGATACTTCCCTACAAAACTATCAAAATAATAATCTCAAAACTAACCCTATTATCACCACAAATTTTGATCTTAAAAAACTACCTAATTTTTTTTTAAATTGCAAAAATTCCATTAACTACGAATATATATTTTTAAAGAATTATGCGTTGGCTAACAAATTTAAACAGTGTACAGTAAAAAGTTGTATATAAATGGTGGATTGTAGACTTATAAAATAATGAATAAAATGTATAAGAAGTTTCACGCAGTGTAGGTTCATGAGGTCGGTGTTTTGTTATATGTCGTGGTATGAAATTATTTGTTTCTAATGTTAAGTTTCCAACTGAAACAGACACTAGCGATGTAAGAGCGGACGTACAGTGACCTAGTATAGTTTGATGAGGGGTTGACGGTGATCATCAATGTTTTACGGGATCGACATGTGGTCACGTCTACGTCCAGAAAACTTCAGGATCAAGCTGTTCAATAAAACTCGATTACAATGTACTAATAAAAAGTGTGTTACAATATTTATGGATGTGCCCAAATGTGCACTTACAGCCAGCTGTAAAAATGGAAATATTAAATGTGACCAATAGGTATATATTCAGCGTTCAGTCAACAAGTGACAAACTACGTATTAAAAACACTATTAAACCTCCCGAAGGCACTGCAAAAATAACAGGAACAGCATGGAAGTATGGTAAAATGATTCTGTCGTGACAGGGTTCGAAGATTATATTTTATCCATACTTTACTAACTGATAGACTTTGATGTTCATGTAGTAAGAATAAATGACGACTATTGCTAAGAAGGGCTCGGGAGTTGTATAACATCGCAATTATCACGAGTTTTTACATTGGTATGTGAAAATGGATGAAATACCCATCCAACAATTCACTTGGTAGTTAAATCGGCAGTGAGCTGAGTGGACAACAGCAAGTACTAGCTGTCCAAAGCCGTCAAAGACCCAAACATCAGTTAACAAGATTTTTTCTCCGTATTTTGAGATGCGGAAGGTAGAATTAAGGAATACCATGCAGCCGTAAGACAAAAAAGTGCTGTTTCACTATTTTTACTACACATGGTATCATGAGACATCCAACATCAAAAGTATCCGAAAGCCTTAAGATAAGTTTAAAGAATCCATATTTGAATGTATGTAAAGCTTTTGTTAAAAAGAAAAGACAATAAGAGTTGTCATAGGCTTTTGGGATTCCCATGGACATTATTTGTAGTTCTCTCGCTTAGAAAGCAAAAACAATAAATAGCGGGTATTACACCAGTTGGATATTGTCATAATTCGAAGAGAACGTACTTATAGTACTGTATAATAATATATACAGTTATTATATAATATTTTTGATTCATCCACCATCTTCGTTTATACACCTTTTTATTAAATAATTGATAAGACAATTTAATGACTTTTACAATTGGTATCAGATATGTGAAATAATTAATGTATGGATAAGTAGTCCTGGGACTACTATTCTAAAATGTTGTCAGGTAAGTAAAGGAGCTGCAAAGGAACGGGCCACAATAACAATAAAATTTCCCCAAATCTCCTGGAAAACTAAGCATTTCGCAACATCTGGTAACAGCGCCTTCCACAAAAACCGTGTTAGAACGAGATAGAAAATCAAGTTTTCCCAAGATTCTAAAGAAATTAAAAAAGAATCTAAGATCCATTCTATTGAGGGGGGTAGGGTAGAACGTCTCATCAGATCGTGTCGTATGAGGGGTCGTTAGAAAGAGGGTAGCTCAAGAAATAAATAATGAAGTGTTTGAAGCTAGAGGATGGCTTGACAAAGAGGCTTTAAGAATAATAGCGGACAAACGGTTTAATGTACAGGGACGTGCGAGGTGTCACATGATATAGAACAGATAGAATATGAATTGATGAATAAATCAGACAGCTTCACGCTAAAGGGACCTTTATCATGTAGCGCACAATGTACAATGACTTGTTTAAAAGAGGAGTAAGATGCGAGAGGCACAATGACATAAAAAAGTTGAACAGGGAAGCTGTAACAAAAGGTTAATATCCAAACAGTTCAAGCTATTTGAGTGTGTGACGACTTGTTGAAAAGAGAAGGAGGCGAGAGGCACAATGACATAAAAAAATCAAATATGGTAGCTGTAACAAAAATGTATTAGAGTTCTAATATCAAAATGGCTTACGGTATGTCAGTGTAGCATAAATCGTTGAATATGAATAAGAGAAAAAATAAAACATGGCGATATGCCACAAGAGCTTAGGCTTTACCTGCAAATACATGCAAGGTGTCACGTGATATGATTTTTGTCTGTCGTCCGTCACTCCTTAGTCGATTTCCTTCTCCCGTAATTCTCATACGTATATTTTGATGTCTTTAAAATTATTATACAATACCATAATACATTTAAATATAATGCCAAAGTATTTCAAATGTAAATCATCATTTAACGAATCCCATTTTAATAATATGAACATCAGTATATCCATATCCATTTATATACAACCATTTAGAAAACACCAGCAACATACAAATTGTAAATAAGTCACATCTAAACGGTTATTTATCGATGAAATTGAAGAAAAGGATAGTTTTAGATATGGTACAATTCCAAAAGTCAAAAGAAAATAAAATCGCCGAAGTAGAAACTTTAGTCTAAAAACATTTCTAAGTTTAGACAATATCGTCAGGGTACATAAAAATTGCTAATGTATAAATACGCATAGAGGCGAAATTATTTTATTTTGCAAGTATTCAGTTGGATTCAGGGCTGACATCGAAGCGATGTTGGCAATACATAATTGTAATTCTTATACTACAGCTTGTGTATAGACAGACCAAAATAATAGACACGTTTACCATTTTCAGATTTTATTTTTTAATCTTCTTGTATATTAAAATATAAATGGCTTATTATATGTTTAAAGTTCTGCACCTGGCATATAGATGGCATCACTAAAAAAATCCAAATTATTTAGAAAATTCCCTCAAACGTCATCTGTCAGAATTTGGATATAATCGGACTATTAGTTTACAACATGGAGTGACTTAAGTGACGCTAATTTTTAAATCTTACAAACATTGAAAAAAACTAAATTTTGTGGGTAAATCATTACTTCTTCATGCCACAAATATTGATCACAGATTGATAAGCGTTATTCAGAATCCGCCTTGTCGGAAATAACTGTTAACGAGTTTTCTGGTAGACCAAACTCGGCAGTGATCTTGTAAAACAACAAAATCGTCCACAAAATCGTTTTGGCTGAAAGTAAACTGAAGTTGTATTGGACAGCGATGAGTTGAACATATCAGAAAGCAGTGTATTTACCAATTGCATGAACATTTGTTAATTAGAAGGCTTAACTGAATGCAGGTGCATAAACAACATCGCATCAACGATTCAGAGCGTTGTTTGACGTTGTTTTAGCACAATAAAAAGGAGTTTTTGATCCATCCATCCATGCATCTGGCAAAATCTGGCAAATCAAATAGGAAGATAGCTGAGTAAAGAGTATCTGGCACGGGCCACCAAACCCACATACATCTCCTGGTAAGATTTTGCCATCCATACTTCAGGATGCAAAAGTATTTTGTTTATCTTTTACCTTCAGAAAGGAATAATCAACAATACCGGAATCATATAGCGTTATTTTGAAAAAAGAAATTCCGTAAAACTGCTACAAATGAAGTCACACCACCAAGTGTCACAAGTGTATCGCAACGCTGACAAAAGTACACAAAATGAACTTCAAACTGCTTCTGAAAGTACTTTGTTGTTCAAATTTGGTTCCTAGCAACTATTGACTGTTTGCAGAAATCAAAAGAATGCCAAGAGATCAAACGACGATGTACTACAGAAACGAGGCTGACGAATAAGACACTCAAAAGAATAGAAGATGCTGAAGACGGAACTTGCCAGAAATGACAAATACATATTGTATAGCCAAGCCTACAGCCAGTTATAATGTTAATAAAAGAAGAACCCTGTCAGACAATTGAATTTGTTAAATACAAATAAATTTGCAACTTTCAACTAGGAAAAAAACTGAAAAAAAGAAGAAGGCAAAAGTATGCATTTCTCCTTGTCTAATATATCGTTAATTAATATAACCGTTATTATTTTACTTTAAAATACCATGTTTAGTATCTTTCATTTCTAATATAAACTTCAAAACGTAGAGGTTTTAAAAGTTTACCAACATGAAAGTTTTTATCAGCATTGCCAACATAATCGATGACGTCACACCCCTTAGCCAATTTTTAAAAGCTAGATGTGTTATTGCTAGTTGTTTTTATACTTTTTAACAAACATCAAGTTACGATCACGTGAAACAAATTGCAATTTTTAATTTAAGCTCTAATTTGATTGCGAGCAGACAAATCTCCAATGGTTTTCTTTGAAAGAATTGTCTGAATTATACGCAAAAAGCACCATTAAAAACCTCGTGATTATCCAAGTGTGAAACACATAAAAGGAGGGTCTGTATTCGAGTACATTAGTACTATTCACTGGTCGATAAAATAATATTGTAAATATAAAACAGGTTGTTTAGAAAGGGATAACTGAAATATTAGAATTACCATAAGTATGTTAAACGTTTTACAGAGTTACTAACTTTTGCATGTTAATATTCAATAATATTGAAGACATGTAACGTTCAATATTTTATTTCATACTATTTTTTACCAATACTTGGCAAAATAATTTCATTATCTACCAAAAAACTTCTTTACATTCTCTTCGACAATCCCGTCGCTATTTTTGCTTCTGGGCCACTATTATATTTATATTGACAAATGAAATTTTGTCTTTGTAATAAAACAATTGCTTGTGCCAAATTAAAATTCAAGTATGAAGAAGTTCAAGAGATAATCATGAAGCTCTGAGCTGGAAAAATAAATTTATCGAATAGAAAAGCTGCAATATTCCGGGCAGTAGATATATACATCCGAGTTTCTTGCGGCGTTTAAAAATTTTATAACATATCTTGGCGATTACAACAAAGCGGCGCTTGATGTGTTTGCTAACCATTAAACTTAGACCTTTGGAATTTATCACGAAAAACTCTTAACGAGAGGAAGAACTGAAAATTCATTTACAAAATACAATGCAGACTATTCAAGAAGTTACTGTATCGCATAATTGATCTACCCTGTATAATTAAAAAAAGGGATTATTAAGGGCACTAACGTTATGAATTACGTATTTTGTTCAATAAAGTTTTTTAAAACTTAAATCAATTAAGTTCAATCACTGGTAGTAAATGCATCACATATTTTTTATCGACATATGCCACTTCAAACCTATCCCTTTAAAACAACCTTAAATTAATCCTCGAATACAGATACCCTCGGGACTAAAAACAGTTATTACAAAAGAAAAACTGTAAAATCGTGTAAATTTATTCAATCGTATTCAGCACGCGAATGCCGACGGGAGCTATAAAGAAAAGGGTTTGCACATTCTAAGGATATGGGGCCGAATAATTGGGGTGGGGGCACAGGAGAAGGAGCAGCTAATTGCAGCGGGAATTCGTCCCGGACCCCCTCTTTTGTCATACGTATTCTAAAGGAGATCTTTTTCCCTTAGTTCGCCTCTCCATGTACCTTTCCAGGAGTTTCTTAAATTCGGAGAATATCCACACTGATGACGTGAGCGCTGTTAACATTGCTATATCTGAAATTATTAAAAACATCAATTAGAAAAAAATATAATAATTCATGATGATGATTTAAAAACAAATTTCTTTCCTTATTACCCAACTACAGTTCGTCCCAAACCCTTTTTTCAGTGCGTCATAGTTGTTCGAATTCTCTCTAACGCATTAAGCTAGAAGTGACAGAAAAAAACGTGAGTCACTGATTATTATACGTAGAACTTAGAAAATTAGGTATCGGTCACGGGTATTTGCATATTAAAGCGAATTCTACTTACGAACCTATAATTGGTTCGAGTTTAGAATACGCTAAATAGATATCCAATCAATTATGCATATAAATATAATTTGACACCAATGATCTTGATAATGACAGTGACAGTACTTTCACAATGTCAACTGATCAAATGATAATTGCCGTTCCAGGTTAGTATTTTCAGACGTTTTACCTACAGTGAAAATTAAATTTTGTATTTATATGTCATAAAAATATTTTTAATATTCCGAGATATACCGAGAATGAACAAAGACTAATATTAAAATTATTAAATTAGTTTCAATTAGAAAAAGAGGCTGAGTTATCTTTATTATCAGTTTCTGTCGTTCGCGAATCAGATTGTGAATTCCGGAATGATATTGACAAAATATCTTAAACTAATACCGTTATGGATATTTATATGTTATTAAAACGGTTCTTTTTAGAACCACGACATTTTCTTGAAATGTAAGATATAATTGATACTAGCCACATATCTAGTGTAAATCATTGATTTTAAAGAATCAGATTCTGAATGGGATTATGGATTGTTTGAAATATAATATTCATTTTTGTATTCATTAAAAAGAAGGTAAACTTACATTCGGTATCTTGTTTTTTAACTAAACTCCATTAACACGATTTCATCTGGATACCGGAACTGGTAGATTAACTCAAAAATCAACTGCTTCACTATTTAAACTATTTATATTGTTTTTTTAACTAAACTTTATAACTTCTTTCATTTGCACACCAAATCTGGTAGAATAACTCAAAAATCAACTGCTTCACTATTTAAACTATTTCCACTATTTAATGACAAATCTTCACAAAAATAAACTATTGGCTGCCACAGAATCTTATCAGAAAATTACTTGTCCAAATATGACTGATTTAAATCGATGTTATTTTATCACAGGAATGTTTACTTTGATGCCTTGCAATTGCAATTATCATTGCAATATGCCTGTGTGTTTGTAATAAATAATAATAAATCCATAAACGAATCTAAGCTAATTAAGCACTTTCCTTGAAATGTATAAAATAGAACAGAATAGAACAGAATTATGACAAACTGCTATGCATTAAAAAAAATAACCTGTTCACATTTAGCCGATTACGATCCTGCAACTGTCAGATTTAACTAAAATGTCATGCAATAATTCTCGACATTCTTTAAATCCTATATGACGTCAAAATTAGTGACGCACTGAAAAAAGGGTTTGGGACAGACTGTACCTAACCATTAATGAAATGACCCTTCCAGTGCGGTGTATTAGTATAAAAATATTTAATTTAGTTAAATACTTAAGTTAGTATAAATACATTACAGTGACGGCACGAATAACTTGATCATCACCAGTATGTAGTTGGGAAATTAGTCCTAATTTCCATTTTAGTGGTGGGACTCCATCTTCTTTAATAAGAACCATAGCGCCAACGTTAATTAATTGTGGAGAATTGGTCTTCCACTTGATACGGGCTTGTAAGGAGGATACATATTCCTTGGACCACCTAGTCCAAAAATACTGCACCATTGACTGTAGTCGTTGAAATCTTAAGAGTCGGTTTTCGGCCACATCAAGTAACTGGCTATCAGGTGGCGCCATCAGGTTGTTACCAATCAGAAAGTGTGCGGGTGTAAGTGGAGTTAGATCATTGGGATCATGTGAAATAGGACAAAGAGCACGAGAATTAAGGCAGGCGTTTATCTGACACAACACTGTATTAAATTCTTCAAAAGTTAGTAAAGCATTGCCTACTACCCTTTTTAAATATTGTTTTGTGGATTTAATTCCAGGCTCCCAAAGACCCCCAAAATGGGGAGATTTGGGAGGTATAAACTTCCGCTGAATACCATCTTGTGACAAACTATTTGCGATGCTATTCGTGCGAGAAGAAAGAAATGTGTTTAATTCGTTGTTAGCTCCTACAAATGTAGTCGCGTTGTCAGAATGTATTTCATTGCATTTACCACGTCTCGAAATGAAACGATGTAGACATGCTAGGAAGCACTCAGTTGTGAGATCGCTGACTACCTCTAAGTGGATAGCTTTAGTGGCGAAGCACACGAAAAGTGAAACGTAAGCTTTAGTTGTTTTGAAATTTCTACTCTTTCGATCACGTAGTAGGAATGGACCAGCATAGTCTAATCCAGTTATCGAAAAAGGCCGAGAGGGAGTGACACGACAAGCAGGAAGATTTCCCATGAGGTGTGACTCAGGTCTGTGATTTACCTTAAAACATTGTATGCATTCACGAACCCCACGTTTTACCATGTTGCGTCGCCCTAGAGGCCAAAATCTCTCTCTCAAAGCTGATAAGAGAGCTTGTGGTCCGGTATGTAAAAGTCTAATGTGTTCATTAACGTGTTCATTAATGTGGTCTAACGTGCTATGATGGTTGTAAAGTGACATTTTGAAGGGACAATAATTGGGTGTCTTTGACCAAAATCAAAATTGGAATGTTGTAGTCGACCTCCAACACGTATTACGTTGTGTGTGGTGTCGAAGAAAGGATGTAGAGATGATAGTTTACTTCTTCTGTTAGAGGTTTAGAAGAAGATAACTGGTAATAATCTTCAGATAAATGGTACTTCTGCATAGTACGAATCAAAAAGAAAAGCGCTTGTTTTCTTCAACCACCAACTCCACTTAATTATATACACATCGTTCAGAACGTTTAACAATTACACCAAAAAGTACTATTTGAAGATTTTATTTCCGGGTATCATCTCTTACTGCCTTACAAGCTTCTAGAAGTTGAGAACATAAAACTTCATCTTATTTCAATCTTCTTCATAAAGTATCTGACAAAGAATCGTAGGTGTCAGTGCTACGCAATGTCATTTGCGCTAAGCTAACTCAATTAATCCCGAGCCTAATAAAATAAAATTTGAAACAATAGCGATACACAAGCCATATCTATTTTTAGATTGTCTTTGCTCTTCGAAAGCTTGTATATAGTGGACTGTATCTTTTCACGGTATGTGGCGAGCAACCCGCACCCCTCGTTCCATCGTCTGGAATTCGGAACAGGTGCGGTTTTGGCACTAACATAGAGTCCCGGCCTTGAAGCACTGTAGGGGTTCGAGAAAAAATTGAACTAATCCGGCTCGAAGGACCCACTGTTATGTTAATAAATAGTGTAAGTTTGAGAATTTCGCGTTTATTATAAAATTTGAAACAATAGCGATACACAAGTAATATATATTTTTAGATTGTCTTTGCTCTTCGAAAGCTTGTAGTGGACTGTGGACTCTAATTGATTTTGAACCAATGAAATTTGAAACTGGGCGAATTATTATTGTGCTGGACACGGTGCCCAAATAGATTTAGAAAAAAAGCAAAATAACAATGATATATATAAAATAGGAACTCTGTTCAGCGACGTTAAATTCAAGATTTGTTGTGAAGGAACATTGTGAAACTGCACAGTATAATTAAAAAAATGGCAATAGGAAGGATACGAGATTTATGGTTAAAAAGAATGCGATTCAACGCGACTAATCAAAACGAACCAGTAAGGAAAAAAAAGTGTTTATAACTGTCAATTTGGAAAAATAGATGACAGTTAAACTAAGACTCTCATTTTCATATCATATACTATCATAAAGATGATACTCACCCCAAGCAGTCAACGATTCCGTTTGGAAAATCGTCTGTAGCGGCGGCAGATACACCACCAACATTTGTCCTAACACTGACAGTGTAACAGCGATCAGGAACATTTTGTTTGAAAACAAACCGATGGTAAATACGCTCTTAGTTTGTGATCGGCAAGAGAGGGCGTTCCACATGTCAAAGAAGACGAAACAAGTGAATGTCATCGTCGTATCTCTAGCAGTTATACCTTCGGAGCTTAGCTGAAAATATAAATATGTTTAAGTGATAGATTCGACCGTTACTTGATGGAAATTCATTTTATATAACAATAAAACACTGAAAACTTTGTTTTCAAAACTTCCACAAAATTTATTATAATATTTTATCACTACAGCTGTTTCGGCAGAGTGCCTTTCTCAAGTGATCTATTTTTGGATATGTTTACAATTTAAAGACTTGAGACAAACAGTTCTCCCCTCCTCAACCTATTTCGTTAAAGACTTTAAATTTATTGTAAACAGATCCAAAAATAGATCACTACTAGAACAATAGTAATAAGAGTAAATAAATAATGAAAATAAATAGGACTATGAGTTTAATTCCCGTGACGGTATGAAATAAAAATGTTTAAAATTTTAAATTGTTGTATAACCCGTGTAGTCAAAAATTTAGTTACCTCCTTTTGAAAAACCCAGAGGGTACCACCAATAATAAAGAAAGCTGATAGCAAAACATTTAAAATTAGTTTCTTTGTTATCATAGGCTCTTTGGTGTCCCGAGCTTTTTGTTTAACGACGTCCTCCTCAACTGGTTCTACTCCTAAACTTTGTGCTGGAGGTCCGTCCATAATAATATTTATCCACAAAATCTAAAAATAAAACATAATACTGGTTTATTAAAAATCGACAAATATTAAAATAAAATGCAGATAAACCGGTAACTTGTAGTAGGTGATCAAATTATTATGATCAGTCACTAAATTTTAAGTTTTTCACATTTGTTTGAAAGTTTTACAGTAAAATCATATATACTGCTACACAATTAAGGTATGCCAATATGTTTTGACACTAATAATTTGACTTTTTGACGTTGACAGCTCTAAAACTGTCATTTTTGTCACAACATACACATTATGGTTAGAGGCTTGGAGGTTAGAATTGAATTTGTCTGTTTTTATTTTGTTTTTGAAAGATTAATATCGTTTTATCTATGTAGTATGTTTTAATAATGTATTATTGGTGGTTGTGAGTGAAAAAAAATATCAGTTTTAATTTAAAAGACATTTTTAAAAAATATTGAGTTTTGAGAATAAAATCATAATGAGTAAGGCTAAAGACATCCTTGAAATTAAAATAGAGGAGAAAATGACACTATTGTGGAATACAAAGCTTTGCCAACGTCAGATAGCCCAACAGTGTCAATTAGGGCAAGCAACAGTGAGCAATATCAAGAAAAAATAAACCAACAAAATGCCCACATATCTCACATGACGTTAAATATTGTGGTTGATTCAGAAGAGATGAGCTGACTGCCACAGCAAAGCTTTCAAGACATTAGGAATTGGTGATTGAGAAGCAGAACGACTACTCTGAAGGTATGTATGCAGGGTGTAGACTGAAGGAATCACCATCGAAGCCTTTCATTTCTGATGGAATGCTTGCCACTCCTACTTAGAGCTCTTTGATTCGCTTATTGCGGTAATCACTCCGCATTATTGTGTATTGTCAAGTTTGTTGTATGACTTGGATCTGTGCATGGCTCTCTTCAGTTTTCCACTTTCAGGATTTTGATATCTCCCATGTCCTGGTCCTTCCAACTCTTTCTGGCTCTTCCCTTGGTCTTTCAGTTACTGTCTTCCATCTTAATCACTGATTAAGAAGGTAACCAGATGGAAGTATCTTAATCAGTATATCTCTTATTTCACGGTTCATTCTTCTCCTCATTTCTCCGTTTTACATTCTTATCAGGTCCATAATTCTTAGGATTTTTCTTTCGAATATTCCTAATTTTTATTCACGTGTGATTGAACCGTTGGTCTCATTGCAACTCTGTATATTTTCAGTTTTGTATTTCTGGATAAGCTCCTTTAGCCTGTGGTTCCTATAGAATACTTTGTTGAATAGCTTATTTCCTCTGTTACTCCTTTCCTCCTCTTATTTTTACAATTCAGAATTACTCTTAATTATTTAAATCGTTAAACTGCAAAAGTGTAGTTTTCTATCATGATTTCTCTCGTTCTAAAGCAGATTAGATATTTTGTTTTTCCTTCGTTAATTTCTAGACTTCTTTTCCGTGCTCCATTTGCCAGGAGTATTACTGCTTCTTTTAATCTTTCTTTATCTCTTCCCATATGAACTGTGTGCTATATTTCCTTTAATGCCGCTGTTCTTGACTGTTCCTTCTACTGCTATGTTGACAGGGAAGCGCCTCGTCACACTCTGTTTCTATTGAAATTGTGATTTCTTCCATTATCATTTGCCTTGTCATGAATAGTTTATTTTCCTGCTACTTCCTTATTTTGGTTAGATTGAAGGAATATTACATAAAATAAACTTTAACTTTGCGTAAACCAATTAATAGTGTGCCACATTTCCGAAATGTCCCTTGTATAATATATTACTTCGACTACCTATTTTAGAGTATACTTACTTGCATAGCATTCAGTGGATTTGGAATATCTAATATTGTTGATAAAGCTATTAAAGAAAGTGCGGCTATTGACGTTGACAACTGGAAAGTAACAAAATTCCTAATATTATAGAAAATACTTTTTCCTTCTTCTATGGCAGCTCTACAAATAAAACAATAATTAAAATTGAAAGATCTGGCGATAAATAAATTTAATTACATGTTATATTTCAAGTAAAATTTATACATCGTAGTAATTCGTCTATTGCGCTCAATCTTTAATTCGATATTAAAATACTCACATAATTGTGTAGAAATCATCATCCACAAGGATCATATCCGCAGCTTCCTTACACACATCCGTTCCATTCTTACCCATCGCTATACCGATGTCTGCCTTTTTCAAAGCAACTCCGTCATTTACACCGTCACCGGTCATACCAACGATGTGGCCGGTCCTTTGTAATGATTTTACTATGGACAATTTGTTTTTGGGAGACACCCTGTAAAATACCGTAGCTCTGGGAGTTGCTTCATCCAATTCGTTTTCGGTAAAAGTGTCTAGTTGTTCCCCAGATAAAACTTGGGATGGAAGAGTTTCCAAACCGATTGATTGCGCTAAAAAATCACGTTAACATAAAGTAGTGTGACAGAATTCAGTATTGAACTATATGTTTACTTTATAAATGTGTTTTGTTTCTTTAGAATAATTTTACACTACTTGGTATCTAAATTAATCGGTCATAAAGCTAAATAAATCTTTCTTTTTGATATTTCAATGCTTATTCTGAGTTATAGCTTATTACTACTCACCAATAGCAACTGCAGTGTCCACTGCATCTCCTGTTACCATTTTGACTTGTACTCCGGATTCTTTTAGAATAGAAATTGCTTCTCTAACTCTTGGTCTAGGGGGATCACAGATTCCAATGGTTCCCATATAGGTTAGTTCTTGCAAAGTAGTACCTTTCGCCATGGTAATAACCCGTAAGCCTTTTTTGCCGATTTCGTGTGCTTCGGCTATAAATTCTTCCTTCTTTTGATCATTTATTGGCTGTGGTGATCCTAAATGAGAAAGATAAATGGATAGTGGAGCACAACGAAAATCAAAGACACAACACAAATTCATATAGGATATTCATTCCAGACAGGTGTTTGGAGAAACAAGGAATACTACAACCAATAGATAGGGTAAGATTTGGTATACAGACGGATCCAAAACTGTAGAGGGTACAAGGACAGGAATATCCTCCAAAAATCCAAGAGTTAGGGGAAGCTATGTCTTGAGGAAGAATTGCACCGTTTTTCAAATGGAAATTTAGGCGATACTGCAATGTGTAAGGGAAAATAAGACAGAACTCTTGAAAAAGAGCAGCACATTGAACATGATTGTCAGAGAATCAAACGGCACCCAAGCCCTTAGACTGAAGGGACTGCATCGGAGAAGAACTGAATGAACTGGGATACCGGAAAAAGGTTGAGCTTGTCTGCGTATCGGGGTATCGAAGGCAACGAAAAAACAGATCAAGTTACTAAAAGAGTATCGAACGAACCAAACGGACCAGCTGTTAGTGTGATAGCACCAAAGTCTGCAGTCTAAAGAGCTTTAGAGTATAGCCCTTGTTATCCCCCAAGTTAGCCAAAATTGGGAGATAATCCCAAAACAAATACATGGGAAAATCAAATGAAAATACCAGAAGAAATGCTATATTATGGGTAGAAATAAACTGAGAATAATAACAGCAATGTTGACCAGATAGGCACTAGTAAAAGAATTCCTGTATAAAATAGGAATTTATAATGTAGATCTTAACTGCACACTCGGCCATAAGGAACCAGAAACTGTGAAACATATGTATTATGCGATTGTGGGGCGCTGAAACGTAAAAGGCAAAATCTATATGGGAAACCAACAGGAGACCTTGATATATTTAGAAAACACCAAGCAAAACTTATAAAGGGTAGACAATTTTTAGACTAAGGGTAGGAAAAAACAATGAACAGCAAATACAATAAGCTTTAACTTCAGTAATAACGAAGTTCTTGGATTAGACGAAGCCAGGGAACAAAAAAAAAACAAAATTTCTAGGTGTTTATCAATTTCAAGCGAATAATTGCAGAGGTAGACAGAACAAACGAATGTTCTTGGTGACTTGGCCACACTCTTAGGAAAAAAGATGTTTCTATGAAAAAGAAAGCTTTGAAATAAAATCCTCAAGGAGCGAGAAGGCGAGGTAGAGACTGAGGTACCTGGGACCTGGTGTAGGACCATTGAAAAGGAAGCACGAAGTATTGGGATGACTTGGACGAGCTAGAAATAGATGGCGAATAGATACGAATGGCGAAATCTCCTGGATACTCAGTGCTCCGCAGCAGGGAAGTTTAAGAAGAAAGATATGTTTTCTACATAAAAATTAAAGCGGAATATAAAGAAAACAATATAGAAGAGCTGTACTTACCATTACGATTATAAGTTGTGCATTTCGGTAGGATTTTCTCTATAGCACCTTTCACGAAGAATATTTCTTCTTTATTATTATCGTATTTGTTAATGCATTGAACGGCCATCATTTTCTGCTCTGAACTGAATGGATATTCCTTAAGTCTGATATACCGATTGCCTATATTATCCATACCGTGTTTCATGGCTGCGGCTAGAAGAGCGCCCTCTGTAGGCGTTCCAAGTAATGTCTCATCTTTTATAATCGCGTTGTTGCAAACTGCTCCTACCTGGAGAAGAAAATGTCTTGATTTTAAAATAAATCTAACTACGGTAGAAGGTTATAAACTTCATAGCTATAAAATGTATATGTGACATATAAAATTAATTAAAGAAGCATCTACGAAGTCGTTTAGGATTTATCAAATTATCCGTACTTACAAAAATGCAAAATATATTATTTTACTTACCTCTAGCAACTGCCTTATACTTTCTCTAGCCTTATCAGGAAAATCATACTTGGTATGTAATAAAATCTGCCCGTGATCATTGTATCCTGCGCCTGTAATCTCAGCGATGTACCCGTCGGAAGTTACGAGTACAGTAGCTGTCATTTCATTTCTCGTAATCGTACCGGTCTTATCCGAACAAATGACGTTCACGCACCCCAACGTTTCGACCGTAGGTAACTTCTTTACGATCGCTTTCCTCTTCGCCATTCGCATGACACCTAAGGCTAAGGTTACTGTTACTACAATAGGTAAACCTAAAAAAAAACTCTGGTTAACGTTTTTTAAAGGAGAATAGTCATGTTAAAAGTGTCCAAAAATTGTGTCGAAATAAAAGGATTATTCATAGTTTCGTACCTTCAGGAATAGCGGCTACAGCTAAACTAACTCCGATCTGGAACATCTCCATGATGAGTTTTCCTTGGATCCAACCCACGAGCATAATAAAACCGATGATAGCAAATGAATAGATCGATAATTGTGTGCCTAATTTGTCCATGGATTTTTGTAGAGGTGTTTTGGGAGCTTCTTCTTCTAACATCATTTTGAACACTGAACCAAACTCGCTGTTGGTTCCTGTACTTACAACTACGCCCTAAACAACAAAATATTAGCCGTAACTATTTATATAAAAAAATAATTAACATTAGAATAGAAGCCTTACCTTTCCCGTGCCGTTTCTAACCAAAGTACCCATAAATGCAATATTGGTGTTCGACGAATGCGCTCCATTTGGTCTGATGACTGAATCCGTGTTCTTTTTTGCCGGTTCCGTTTCACCTGTGAAGGAGCTTTCGTCTAACGTGAGATCATGAGCTTCGAAAAGACGTACGTCAGCTGGTATCCGATCCCCGATGTTAAGGAGTACCACGTCTCCAGGAACCAACTCTCTTGCTAGAAATGTGTCTGGAGTTCCTTCCCTTAGACTAAAAAAAGAATCTACAATAATTGTTGACATATCAACATACTTTTGCTATTTTTGTTTCCCCTCATAGTTAGTCAAAATTTCGCTTACAAAACCTTCCATTAATGAACGATAGACTTTGAACAATGAACATATTGCATGGACAGTTATGATGTCTAGACACCATGATAATTATAATCAAAAGACAGACGATGTTTGTAAAAAGTTACCTGTTAGTTAGAAAGAATTATACATTCACTCATTCTCCGCCCACCATTCAGACAATACAGTTAATTAATTTGATAGCAGTTTTCCCAATCGAAGAAAACATATTTCAACATATGTGTGAGATTAAAAAAAGGTTCCTTCACAATTCGAATTCAAGATCTAGATGCGAGATCAGCTAAGAACAAGACACATTAGATATACGCGACAAGTCACTCGATTTCGTCCTATTTTTTTTATAGATTTTTTGTGCCTTTATAGTAGTTAGGAATAAATGATTGACAATTGAAAACAATTGATTTAACCGATCAATTCCCCCACTTTTTTCCAGTACATTAGTGCCGATCATCTAGCTGGAACCTTAAAAGGTAAGACTTGTTGACATATATATCTGAAAGAACGATATCTGTGTTCATGTTTACTGTTACAGCGTGGAAAAATTTTAAAGATTCTTTGTTTGGTTAATACAAGTAATTATATAAAGGTAAAAAAAAACATTTCTTCTCTTCTTCTCTTGGTGTTACAAATATTTATCGGTTTTCGTCTATTTAAGGATGTTTCTCCATTCTGGCCTGGCAGTCTTCTCCAACTCTTCTTCTTTTGCCATTGTCTCCCATGGTTCATGGCTTTAAGGTGTCAATCCTCATTGTGACTTATGGACGACTTCAAAAATGAAAACCCTAACAAACAAGGATAAAAACTGTTTGTGAAGAAAATCAAATGATCATCAAACTTCTTCTTCTTCTTGTAGTGCCTATCCGTTTCGGATGTTTTCCGACCATCGTGGCAATCTGCACTTTGCACACTGCTGCTCTAAAAAGATTTGTGGTTGTTGTGTTGAACCACGTTCGTAGATTTTTCAGCCAGGAAATCCTTCGCCTTCCTGGTCCCTGTTTTCCTTCTACTTTTCCCTGCAAGATTAGTTGCAGCAGTCCATATCTTTCGCTGTTCCTCATGATGTGAACGAGGTATTCGATTTTGGCTGTTTTTATTGTGGTTAACAGCTCTTTTTCTTTTTTCATTCTCAACAGAACACCCTCATTAGTAACTTGGTCGGTATACGATATCTTCAGGATGCGACGATAAAGCCACATTTCAAAAGCCTCAATTTTCTTGCAGGTGGCGTCTGTGAGAGTTCATGACTCAACTCCGTACAATGGTATAGGAAAGATGTAACATCGTAGTAACCTGTTTTTTATGGGCATTGATAAATCATGACATTTGAATAACTTAGCCATTTTTTGAAATGCAGCTAAACGTTATCTATCGGCGTTTAATGATTTAGCTATCAGCTGAATCATTAAACGCCTAGCATAAACATCACAAACGACGCTTAGCCATTTGGAAAATCCTTTTTAACGTTGACAAGAATACTTAATTTGGAAGGAATTAAATAGATTATATACTTGTAACAATTTTTTAGAAATGTTGCCAGAAGAGTTAGCTAATATTGGATCCTATCATCAACCTCTTGTGTAAATCAGGGACAGAAACAAACCACCAAACTAACTTTAATAACATAGAAATAAAAAACACGATGAAACAGAAATTTATTCATAATTAGCTGTGCTTTTCTTACTGGATATTCCAAGGCAAAGTTGAATAACAAAGGTGCAAGACAGCGCGGATACATACACCTGTGCTAATCGTACCAACTTTCTAAAGACTTCCACTTTCATCATAGCCTTCCACAAAACATATTTCCTCACAGAATCGTATGCTGAGAGTTTTAAATATCTCGGAGCGACTATCACCACAGATAACGATATCACGGAAGAGATAAAAGGGAGAATTCAGGCAGCAAACAGATGTATGTGTAGCCTCCACAACACTATTAAATCCAAGAGCCTAACACGAACATCAAAAATCAGGATATATAAAACAGTAATTAGACCGGTGCTCATGTATGGGTGTGAGACGTGGACGCTGACAAAAGCAATGGAAAGTCCCTATCACGATCCGAATACTAACCAATACCGAATGAGAACAAATAATGCCGAGGTCAAACAAATGTATAGTGCTAGCGACGTAGTCCAAGAGATTAAATCCAAACGTCTAAGATGGGCTGGCCATGTTCATAGGCTCCCTAATAACCGCCTTACCAAGTTAATCTGGGAAGAAGTCCCGACAGGGAGAAGACCCTTAGGACGTCCACGAATGCGATGGAGAGATAATATATGGTCAGATTTGAGAACAATGGGGCTACCCACTGACTTAAACATCATGGACGACCGTTCGAGATGGAAGCAGGTTGAGCAGTCAGCCAAGACCCACCTCGGGTTGTAGTGCTACCAGAAGAAGAAGAAGAATCGTATGCTTGTTTAAAATCTACAAATACTTGATTTACGCCTCGATTTTCCCAGTCCTTTTCCAAAATCTGGTGTAGAACAGAGATCTGGCCAATAGTTGATCTTCCAAAACCCAGTGTCCAGGTTGGTTGCGTGTCTACCTAAATCCTCGATTATAATTCAGGAAGCATCCTACAGCATGCAATAAAAAAACGTATAAAGTAAAAAAATTCTTACCAATGACATGATGGTGGAACTAATTTCGTCAATTCCTGTAACGACTTTTCAGATCGATATTCTTGGACAAAGGCTACGGTTACTACTATGACTATGGCTACTGTAATACTGATCGCATCGTCGAATTGACTCATGCACGCTGACACTACCGCCGAACCCAGCAGCAGTAAGATCAGGGGGTTCTTGAATTGTTCTAAGTACTTCTTCCATGGTGGGTCACCGTTTTTTACAGAAAATTCATTGTACCTGAAAGAATAAAACACTATATATTATAGCTAAAAGAAGCTACTGACAATGATATTGAAGAAGTGGAAATTGTAGATATATAATTTTATTTTTATAATTTTATTTTAACATAGTGTTACGATTTTTTCAATCGAAGAACATGTTAAACCACATTTTTTTTAAATAGACTTCATTTTTTTTATAAATATGTGTTTTTTTTTCTGTAAAATAATAAATGTTTATGCATTTTAATGACTAATACAATCAAATAACAAGAGTTATGGTTTTCTAAAGTTAACTCAATATTTTTAAGATTTTTTTAAAACTTTAAACCTTAATATCTCAGCTTTTTTATTTTGTGGCTCACCATTATGTTACAATAAGGTCTTCAATTTAACTACCACTTACATACGTAACCAATACCGATGACTTTACGTAGCCTGCGAAGCACGGAGGGCACTTATGAGCGTACTGAGACCGGTTACATTAATAATTTCTATACAAAGTCCAAGAAGCTATCATTTTGTTACACAGGCATAACTATGTATGTTTTTTAGTCATGTAATCTCCGTTGTTTACAACATCTTTTCTTTTATTGTAAAAGACAGTAATGAGTGGTAATTTTCGGCTTGTTTTGTAAATCGCCTATTGTTTCCACGCCGTGAATTTGGGTAGATAGGAAAAGAACAGCTTTTCGTTTTTTAGGCAATATGAAACAAGTGTTATTGATAAAAATCGTCGCTAGTTTTCTCATAAAGTTGCTGTAATGATTAAATTATGTTTGAAGAGTTATTGAGCCATATTGATCAAGTTAAAATTTTAGAAACCTCTGTAGACAGAACCAGAACCGAAAAAAGTTCATCAAAAGAAAACACTGGATGACAGACAGAACGCTGCAATTTCTCGAAGAGCGAAGAAGAATCAAATCTCTCATATATCAAAACGAAAGCAACAAAAACGAATTAGCAAGGTTAAATAGAGAAATTAAAAGAGCATGTAGAGCTGATAAAAATAAACATATAAACGAAGAATGCGAAGAACTAGAGAGACCGCAAACCGGTATGAATCCCATGCTATATAACAAAGTCCGATATCTATTCAGGCAATTTAAACCAATCACACAAACAATAATGGATTAAAACCAACATATTATAAATGCCCAGAAAGGGATTGCGGAGCAATGGAAAAAATATTGGAAAGTCTATAAGCAGATGATCCCTAGAATGCAAATTACGATGAGTTCACTGCAGAGACAGAAATAAACATTCTAAAATCAGAGGTAGAAAAAGCAATCAAAAAGTTAAAAAATAGAAAATCTCCTGGCGCAGATCAGATCACCGCAGAAGATTTAAAAAGACTGGAGATGTTGAAGTAAATGTTATGCATATGTTCTGCAAAAAGATTTGGGATACCGGAGAGTGGCCCAACGACTGGACAACATCCACTTTCATCCCTATATTCAAAAATGGAACTCTGCTAGATTGCAGAAACTACAGAACGGTACCCCTAGTATCCCATGCAAGCAAGGTTCTACTTCATGTAATACATGAAAGACTAAAAGCTTTTCTATTGCCTCAGATATCAGAAGAACAAGAGCGGCATTTGTCCCAGGAAAAGGCACAAGAGAACACATCCTTAATGTCAGACAGTTAGTCGAAAAAACTCGTGAATTCAATACTCCTATGCTTATGTGTTTTGTGTATTACACAAAGGCCTTCGATAAAGTCAAATGGCAGCAGCTATGATCCATACTAGCGAAAATGGAAACACCCCACCACTTAATTTAACTGATTAGAAGTCTATATAAAAAAATAAGTGCACAGTAAAAATAAACAACACCCATTCCGATCATTTCAGAACAGAGGCAGGTGTCAGGAAGGGATGCAAAATCTCGCAGTTTAATATCTACAGCGAACACATTATGCGAAAGCTACTAAACGGATGGAACTCTGAAATATCAGTAAGAGGTCAAAAAAATCGGTAACTTGAGATAATATGCTGATGACACTTTAATAATCGCGGCAAATGAAGAAGAAATGGAAGACATGATGAGATGTCTGGAGGAGAAAAGCAAAACATACAGACTTAAGCTAAATAGGAGTAAGACAAAGATCATGATAGTAGACAGAGCTCGGAATAATCTTCAATACATTAAAGAAATGGGGGTCTTTAAAGTAGTAAATAGTTTCATATACCTGGGGTCCTTAATAACAAATGACGGGGGTGTGGCAGGGAGATACGCAGAAGGTTGTCTATTGTTAAAACAGCTATGATGAAACTGGAAATAATTTGGAAACATTCTAGCATAACAATACACACAAAACTAAGGCTCGTAAGGCCTCTCATTTTTCCCATAGCTACATATGCATCCCAAACGTGGACCTTAAAGAAAGCGGATAAAAATAAACTAGACGCTTTTGAAATGTGGGTATAACGCGGCATGTTAAGAATATTGTTACGATAAATTTGTGACCCAAAACCGTAAACATATTTATTACCAATATTATTATTCATTCACGTATTTTCTAGGTCATATACTACCGATTGAAACTCTCCAGAAGGGGTCAATAAAAACTTCAGGTAACATCAACTGGCCCGACCGCTATAAAAAAACCAGTTCGGGATAATTCGCCGCTCTGTCTGTGGGATTTTCCTTCTGTATTATTCGAGAGTTCCGGAAGCCGACCTACTCGAATAACGGCATGATATAAATAGAAACATTTTTGTAGAAAGGGATCAGTCAGAAGAAAAGCGCGACGCGTTTGAAGTGTAACGATCGTAATAATAAATTATTATTGTAAGATAAATTATTATAAATAAACTTTAAATTAAGTTGTAAGTGTTATGTATATATATATATATATATATATATATATATATATATATATATATATATATATATATATATATATAGAACCTTTGATAAATAATAAAAACAATAAATTAGAATTAATAAAGACTTAACAATATCCTGGATTGATCATCGCACTAACGTATCGATACTAGAACAACTTAAAGTAAAGGATATATTGCTTAAATAAATACAACAGAGATATTTGCAGTATTTTGGACACATTGCTAGAAGAACAGATACGATGGAAAAACTGATAGTCGAGGGTAAAGTTGAAGGAAAGAGACCTAGGGGAAGATCTCCAAGCCGTTGGGTAGATCAAACAAAAATATTGATTAACCAAGGGTTACATGAAGCCGACCCTACAACTAGCCCAGGACAGGGAGGGATGGAGGGAAATCGTAAAAAAACCGTAAAGAGCTGATAGTGTCACCATATCCCAAAACGGATTAGAACTGAGGAGGAGGAGGAAAAGTTTATCTGTTGTAACACCTCTTTATGAATCAAATATGCTTTTACCATCACTAAAACTAAATTCTTATTCCATATCGCTCAGGTCTACCTTTTATATGTATATATTTTAAACGAATATTTTCCACGAAAAGTAACTAAGCGTTCATCAGTTTTAAATGTTTAATGTCAATATTTGAGGAAAATTTGCAGTGCAATTTGTGACAAAATTATCATACGTTTAGCTTATCGCCTCCCTCTAATTTGTTGCAATTTATTTGTATTTTCACTAATTTCTTGCGGCCTAGAAATAAGCCTACGTTTCAGTTAGGTACAGTTTTCTTCTACGATTTCAACTACCAGGAATTGGTACACCAATAAAGGCTTGAATTTCTCTACTGTCACATCTTTCCATTATGTTTCCTGTCCTTTAAGCTGTGTTGCTGTAAGTTCCATTTCGGAGTGATGTTGACGCCTCGTCTACTTTTACGAACACATGTATCTTTGAGCATATCATCATCAACCTGTATGCGTCCACTGCTGGACATAGGTCTCCCTCAGCTCTTTCTATCTGTTTCTGTCTTGTGCGGCTTACTTCCAGTTATTGCTAACACGCTTCAGGTCGTCAGTCCATCTAGTTGACTTCATTCAAAGTTGGTTCCTCGCACGTCCCTTCTTCATCTTCTTGCCAATTCTCATTTTCCTCAAGTTCCTCTTATTGGTCTGTATTTTATAGATCTTCTAAACATTCCGCCCATCTGTTTAATTTTCCTGTTGTTTCAGCTAGAAGTAAGCCTTCTTTGTTTCTGCAATACTGTGGATTATTCTTTTAGTTTCTCTGGATTTCTAAACTTCTTGGTAGAAATTATTTACCTCTTTGTTTATGCAGACTTCTTCTATGTTTTTCCATTGCTTTTCTAGCTGTTCTCTTTTCTTTTTTCTGCAAATTCTTTTCACTTCCTTTCTTCTTGCCATATAGTTTTCGATCGCATTTTGGGTATTTTCTTTATCTCTTTATAGTTTTGCCGTTTCTTCTTGCCAAAACATTTCTACATTCTTCATCGAATCAGTCTTGCCGTCTTTTTATATTCTCTCTTCCTGTACACTATCTAAGTGATTACATACATTAATACTAAAATGGGCTGGTGTATTATCATGAACCATAAGTGTTCTCTCAGCTACAGAGAAAGTTCTTCAAAAGGAATAAGTAAATCTTCCTGTAGGATGCGAAGGTAAGATTCGTCTGTTAGTCCTTGTGGGATGAAATATTGACCGAATGAGTGATCATTAATTACCCCAAGCTATACATTTATTGAAAACTGATGCTGAAAGCTACCTCTTTGCAAAGTTTCAGTCAATTTAACTGAAACCAATTTTACATAAGAAAGGGTTCTTCTTTTCTGTATTGGGTCTTCTTCAGCAAATCGTTTCAGACCGAGCCTGTCCAATCTTGTATGTTCTTAAGATAGTAGCACTGTATATCACACAGCTCGTCTTGCATTATATTCATCTGCAGCTTGTTTCGTCCGTTAATTTCAGCTGAATTCCCCTTGTGATTGCTTCGAAGGAGGTGTCTAACGATTCCCTTATCTCAAGAAACGCAGCCAGCGTCACTTCTTGGCCCAGAACGTACTCTACCCGCTGTACGACATGATATAGTACCGTATAATACTACTATAAGACAAGTACTCAGGTACTTATATTATAGAATCCTACTCCATAATATGAGTACCTGATCCCTAATGTTCCCATCGAGCATTTGTGAGCAGAAGAACACTGTTTTTTAATAATATGAAATTGAGCTTTGCTTCGATTTCAGTTAGTCTTCAGTATTTCGAATGAAAGTATTCTATCACTTTTCTCAATTTAGTTTTTCCTTTATTTATTATGCCTTTTACAAGACTGTCGTTATGAGACTTTAGTATACAGTCAAAAATGGACTTTTTGACATATCACTCTCTATTAATTGAAATTAAAAGATATTCTAGCTAATGGTAATCAAAAAATCCTCGTAATAATGCTTTAAATTTTTTATAACATAAATATATTTAGTTTGAAGCAATTACCGTGAATATAATGTCTTGATCGATATTTCAGCGTTGGCATCAACGGTACATATTCTACACTGACGTTTCCGTTGATTAATAGCAGGTAATTTGCTTCTATTTATTTATTATCCAATTTTTATTTTTCTTCGTCACGGTTTTGTTATTCGGATTCTCACGGACCGTTACGGTCTAGACAATTTAGAGACCAGGTACAAATAGAAAAATACAATTACCAAATACAGTTTTGAACTTATTGCTGGTGAAATTGCACTTTAAAGTTTGACATTAAATTTACAAATAACATACAAGGATACAGTCTCGTGGAAGCTGTGACTGTTTTTAAACTTCTCAAAACAAAAAATTTTTTGTTGGCTCACTCTTATCCATCATTTTTCTTAACCTTTCAGGTTAGTAGACTACAGTTCAGTTAAAGTAGACGCAGTTTGTCTAGGAGACCGGTGGGAGTCAATGACGGTCAATTCTAAAGTCAATCGGAAGTTTTCGAGTTTCTCCGGCTCTTACCGGTACCCTCTGCTTCTGCCGGTGATAGGTACATTTATATTATATATGTATCCATCATTTATCAACTGTGCATCATTATTACAGAGTTGATGCTCAGAATAGAATTTTGTAACTTCTACCTCTAAAAGAGCAAAAGAGATTGTTAGCACTTTTTGAAGAAGTTTCGACGGGTGAGGAGTATGATGATGAAGAGGAATCGAGAGAAGATCATGTAGAAGAAAACTTGGAGGTAAGCGATACAGAACAGAAATTGCCACTGCCAATTCAAAATAAAACGGATAAAAGCATGTAAAATAAAAGTGATAAAAGGAAAATCTACTTACCCCGATACTGTTCTCCTATCGTTTGCTTCTTGCCAACCTAAACCTTTTCTAATATCTACTCGTAATCTCTCAGCGACTTCTTCATAACCTAAACTACTTGCTTCACTAGCTGTCAACCATAATCCAGCACTGTCTTTGTCAGTCTGAAACAAAAATAAGACATTTTACTTAATGAATACGAATAGATATTGTTAATGCCCGTAATTACGGTCCTGTACTTCACGAAGCTCTTTTCTTCCGTAAAAATTACAGTCAGCATTTTACCTCCGCAGAGAAGTTCCCGGTTTTCGGTATAATCTTCGGATATAGGGGTATTTCAACGATCTAGGCGGCCAAAAGAATAGTTTTTATGAAAAAAATATTTATTAACAAAAAACAAAACATATTTATTAACAAAAAATTGAAGGGATAGGGCTGAAAGATTTAATTTTTCCTTACTATTACTATTATATATTATATATAATGATATATTATCATATACTACTATAATATATACAATATTACATTTATGCGGCTTGTCGCTGCTCTGTATCGAATCAAAATCTAATACCGTCATTTTTTATATTTCTTTACTTCGTTTGGAGTACCAGAAATCGAATTCACTACGAATATTGGCCAGGATGAACGGCATTTGGAATGCAATTTTAGATTTCCTTGCCGATTTATTCATCAAGCTGTTTGCTTCGCAAGTTTTAGGAAGCACGGTGGCTGATATTTGAATTCGATTTCGCCAGGTAGAAATCGTATGATTTCTCTTTTTGTTTAATATTACATTTGTTTGTATAAAACACTTAATACTTCACTTAATATTCCTTAGAGTCTTTCCATACATTTCTTCACCACTTTCGTCCATTGTTTTCTGTCCAAAGCTTTCCAGTTTACAATATTACTTTTTTTTAAGTCTTCATATGCTGTCCTTCCATCTCCTTCTTGGTCTTCCTATTCTTCTTTTTTGTATTGGTTTACGTAGTAGAACCATTTTTGGCATTCTCGCCTTTCCCATTCTTTTGATATGTCCTAAGTATCAGATTCTCTGTGCTTTGATTGCCTTCGTTATTTTTGGTTCATTATATAGTTCTTCAAGTTCCATATTATTTCTTCTTCTCCATTGTCCATCTATTTTCACGCCTCCATATATTGCTCGTTGTATTTTCCTCTGCCATCTTTCTAAAAGGTTTATTTCTGATTTTTTAAGCACCCATGTTTCACATGCATGTAGCTGTAGGTCTGATAACTGTTTTGTAGATTCTTATTTTTGTTTTTCTTGAGATATATTTGATTTCATTAATAGACGCAATGCTCCATACTTTTTGTTTGCTTTTACTATTCTTACTTTTATCTCCCCTTCCCCATGTCCTTTTTCATTTACTTTTACACCCAGGTAAGTAAATTCTAAATCTCTTTTAAACGCGCATGAATTTTCTCCATCTATCTCCAATGTGAAATTGTCTTCTTTTTCTTTATCTGTTTCTCCCATTATCATGTATTTTGTCTTTTCCTTATATATGAGAAGACCAAAAATTTTTGCTTCTTTTATTATATTGCTCATTAATTTTTTTAGTTCTTTCTTACTTGTTGTTAATAGTGTTGAGATCAGCGAATGCTATACATTGATGGCCATTTTTAAAAAGCGTTTCCTGTGTGTTTATTTTACTTTTCTGATTATTCCTTCCAGTATTACATTAAAAAGAGTAGTTGATAGTGGGTCTTCTTATCTTAATCCTTCTTTTGTTTCAAAATTATTTGATTTATGTCCCTTCCATATTATTTCGTTTGTGGAGTTATCCATAGTCATCTTTACCAATCTGACGATTTTACTTGGTAGGCCCATTTCTTTCATTAGTGCGTACATCTGTTGCCGCTTTACCGTGTCGTAGGCCTGTTTAAAGTCGATGAACAGGACGTATACTGCTATTTTATGTTCGTAGCACGTAGTCTGGATTTCTTCTAACAATATTTGGTCTGTCGTCGACCTATTACTTCTGAATCCTGCCTGATATTCGCCCAATATCTTTTCCGTGTATTGATTCAGCTTTTTTCTTACGATGTTTGTCAATATTTTGTACACGACTTCTAGCAACGCGACACCTCTATAATTTTCACATCTCATTTTGTCACATTTTTTATGTATAGGGCATATCCTTGCCCTGGCCCATTCTCCTGGCATTCTTTCTGTTTCTCATATGCTTTTTATCAGGCTATGTATCTCCTTGTGTAGTCTTTTTCCTCCTGTCTTTATCATTTCCGCCGATATTTCTGTTATTCCTGGGCTTAACAAAAAATATTTTACTTTATTATTGTTATGACTTTTATAACTATTATTTTAAAATCAATATCTCAAAAATATTCCTATCCGATAAAACTTGCGATTGAATAATAAAACATGTATTTGATTGCTATTAACAACAGTATAATCACGCACTATCAAAAGACAAATTTTCTTCTTCGATTTCAGAAGAGTACCCAGCTGGGTTCGTTACCATAGTAGTGGACCTGTAAATCTATTCCTAATCCTCTCAACATTTAGTTGTAGTACAGTAGTACGATTTATGATGTTCTGTATTATTTCTGGTACTTTTTGGCTTTCTTAATGTCTAGAATCTTAAATCTTAAGTCGGTTTATATGTGAAATAAATCTTTATTATAGACACGTGTTTTAATTAAATTCAATTGTCTTCGTAGTAAAACAACCTGAGAAAACTTGATCAATCAAACTATAAATATTTATCATCTGTGTTTAAGGAAGGAAGTCATTGAAACTACTAATTATGTATGGAATTACCTAATTACCTTTATACATCGTTGAGAATCTGTTTTTTCATTGATAACGTCTCAAGATTTGTATATTAATAAATAGTGTAGTAGTGCATGAACAAAAGATTACATAATATAAAAACAATACTACTAAAGATGTTAAATAACGTTTTAAAGAACGAAGGCGATGTTTGGAATTAAATATTAACTATTTGGTTTAATCACAAGAATATTAATCATAAGAATCAAAGAAAACTTGGAAACAAATCAAGAAAAATTAAAAACCTTTTACAAAATTACTTACAGAAAACCTTAAGGCGCAAATTACTTGTTGTTGTTCCTCTAATTATATGGGTTCGATGGAAAGTACGTTGAAATTATAATGGTAATAATGATCGAATTTGATGCGAACTAGACGAAATAACAGCATCAGCGAGTGTGATCCCAATGAACATTTTAATTCAACATTGACGGTTAGTAGAAATTGGAATGCAGTTGGCCAGGAACAGTTACTAATATCTGAGTAGAATGTGTAAATCCGCCACAACGCATCCATCGGTTGATGCATAGCGCCATCTATTATTTATATTGCGGAACTAGGAACTTTTATATAACCTTATCGAAAATTGTTTAAAAATGTTGAGAACCAACTAGATGATCAAGAAAATTTTTTGATCGATAACAATAATATTTTAAGCAAGACGCGGCTATATCGATTTTAATTTCCGTGTGACAGATTGGTGAGAAAATGAATGAGAAATTTGAAAATTTTTCCCAAATGATCGAAGAAACTTCTAGAAAAAATGATGATAGATTCGAGAACGTTTCCAAAGGATTTGATGAAACGTCTCAAATTATTAAAGAAGCAGCTAGGAAAAATAACGAAGATCCGACGAAACTTCTCAAATAATTAAATGAGTATGTATTCACAACAATGAGAAATTTGAAGAAGTTTCAAGAACATTCGATAAGGTAGAAAAGAAGATCAAACAGTTAGAGAGCATGATAACCAATACGAAAGTGCTACCACCAGTTAATGCAGTAGTTTTAGATCCTGTAGTGAAAGAAGAATCACCTAGAAACGAAACGACACATCATATCAGATTCAAATTGCCACCATTTGATGGAAAGTCTTCTTGGCCCATATACCTTGGACAATTTGAAGCTATTGCGACAGCTAATCATTGGACAGAACAAGAAAAGGCTGTTTCCTTGATTGCTACTTTACGAGATGATGCTACGGATATCATAAAATTGATTCATAAGGGTTAAGAAAAATGTTACCAGTCCTTGTTCACTCGACTAGATAAACGTTACGGAGATGCCCATCTACAACAAGTCTACAAGGCGCAACTAAGAAGTAGAATTCAACGAGCAAGTGAAAATTTGCAAGAGTTTGAAGAAGATGCTGTTCGTATAGTGCAGTTGGCTTATCTGGGGTACCAGACAACATTTTGGAAGAAATTGGTGTAGATACCTTCGTCAATGGGTTAAAAGAAAGTTAATTACAGAACGCTTTACGACTAGCAAGACCTAAAGTTCTAGATGAAGCGCTTGCTATTGCCTATAAAACAGCTAGTCAAACTTCACGGAGCCATCGAGTAAGAACCATTGAAGAAGGCGACGAACCAAACGATGAACGTCTGGAAGAAATGGTACGAAAAGTAGTTCGTAACACGATGCCGAAAAGACGCGAGCCCAGATGTTGGAATTGTGGTGACGTAGGTCACATTCGCCTTAAATTGCAAGAAAATAATACAACAGTCAGAAAGCCAGAACAGATCGAACACTGGCCAGGAAAAATTTATTCAAATGTTGATGCTCAGTCAAGGCGACCATCCAGTGCAAATTTTTGTCTTAAATTGGTGGAACGACTTTGTCCCGTGAGACGAACCACCGTCATTAATGATCAATGGCAGCCTCAACAGCTACAAGACGCCTAAGCAGATGATCCATATATAAAAAGAGTATTGGATTGGATCCGTGGAAGTGAAAGACCTTCTTGGCAAGACATTAGTGCATGTAGTTCAGAAGTCAAGTCTTATTGGAGCCAATGGAATTGCCTAGTGCTAAAAGATGATCTTTGTATAGAACCTTTGAGAACGATGATGGTACATAATCTAAGCTTCAGTTGATTATACCTAAAAGTAAAGTGTCAGAAGTGCATCAGGTGGACACTTTGGTATTACAAAAACTCTATTTCTTTGGTTTCTTTGTACTTTGGTACTTTGGTTCGAGAACGGTTCTATTGGGTGAACTGTAAAGATGATTTAAGAAGATGGTGTCGGAAATGTGAACTGTAAGCAACCAGTAATGGCCCAATTGATAAAAAGAGGGCACCCAAAAAAGAGTACAGTGTTGGTAGTCCTCTGGAAAGAGCAGCAATCGA